GCAAAAAAGTTTACCACTACATATGCTTAAATATAAGCTCAACACAGTACAAAGACAAAGAGAACTGGAATCACTATGATACAAATTGGCAATGTCACGAATGTAAAAATGTAACAGAAAGGAGTAAAAATGACAACACACCTGTGAGGAGTGTCCACTCAACTGCAATCTCCGACTCCGACTCTGACCAGAGTCAAATGGGAGATACACAAAAACAAAATCTGAACCTCGAAAACACACCCTTGACATCAATAACATGTAATATGAAAGAACTCGCAGATTTTTTTGATGAAAAATTAGTTTCTAAGCTAGAAGCTATAAAACACCAAATCGTTGGAGAAATATCAAATACAATTGAAAATAAAATATCCCAAGCTCTGAAACAACTAAAAAACGAATTTGTACAGGAAATTATAAACCTAAAATCAGACCAAGAAAAAATAATAACCAATTTAAACGTTATGGATACGAAAATACAAAAACTCGAAGACCAGAAAAATGAACTAGAAAAACAAATACAGCAACTTTCAAGCAAAATTGATCAAAATCCACCGATTCAGCACAATAACCCAGTTATCTACGATCACAGCAAAAAATTAGTTTTATACGGCTTAAATGAAATATTTGGAGAAGATGAAGACAGTCTCAATAACCGCATACTAAACATTTTCTATGATTTATATAACGTAGATTTGACAGGATAGATAGAGGACCTATCTCGACTAGGAAAGAGGTAACCGCCGGCCCGTAATGATTGAACTAATTAGTAAGAGAATGACAAAATACCTTGTACAAAATACTGCTTTCCTGAAAAATATCGGATTAAGAATCTCTGAATACCTTGATGAAGCCGGCAGAAAAGAAAGAAAGAGAATGCACGAAATTTTACTTGAAGCAAGAAGAAATGGAAGACATGCGGTAATACGTAACAACGCTCTAATAATAGACGGGAAACAACAGGTATTTGAAGATGACAAGAAAACAAACACTACACGCAAGAACAATAACACATCAGGATATAACACCAATCAAGAAAACAAAACTTTTCGAAACCAAAGATTTACCATGTAACGTTCTTTTCCAAAACATACAAAGCCTTAACAATAAGCAACATATTCTTGAAGCATTCCTTGAACAGGACCCTACTTATCAAGCAGTTTGTATATCGGAAACCTGGCTAAATCAAGGAAAACTGGATCTTATAAACATAAATAAATACCAAGTAGCATCATCGTTTTGCAGAAAAGATCGAAGAGGTGGCGGTGTCTGTATACTGCTACAGGAACAAATTAAGTGTATAGACAGAAGCGATATTACGAATATGTCGATCGAATACGTCCTAGAAGTGTGTGCAACTGAACTACCAAATGAAAATACTCTATTGATAGTAATGTATTGGAACGGAAGAGAGAAAGACGTCTTTTATAAACAACCAAAACTTATTTTAAACTTTATCACACAATATAATATTAGGTGGAGATTTTAATATAGACGTTTTAAATAACAGTGTAGAAGCAAACGAATTTATAAACCTTATGCTAGAACACAATCTTACTCAACACATAAAGGAACGTACACACCATCTCTCATGTTTAGATCTCATATTTACAAATTTTTGTGATATATACTCCTTAACTACAGTAGAGGATTTAGGGTTCTCAGGCCATAAAGGAACAAGCATAAAAATTAAAATAAACTTCCAAAAAAATAAACAAATCTATAAAGTGAAAAAAAGATCCTACAAGAATAAAAATATCCATAAATTTAAAGAGAAATTAAGAACTATAATTTGGCAAAAAATTATACTTCATAATAAAACTGTAAACGAAAACTATACGACATTCCAAAACACACTAACTAATATCTTAAATGAAACTATACCTAAAAAAAGTATTAAACTACAATCAAACGACAAAAAATATTGGCTAACAACTGGAATCAAACTGTGCTGCAAAAATAAAAGATTATTAAAAATACTAACTTCAAAAATTAAAAGCGACGTAATTAAATCTTATTATAAAAGATACGAAAAAATACTTAAGAGGCTAGTAACAACGGCAAAAAAATTAAACTACATAAATAAGCTAAAAAAATCAAATAACAAAGTAAAAACGATGTGGAAAATTATTAAAGAAAAAACAAATAAAAAAACTATAAATAAATATAACAATATAACTTTAAAAATAAATGACAGTATAATCTCGGAACCAAAACGAATCGCTAACATATTCAATGATTATTTTGGAAAAATTAGTAAGGGAAATGTCTCCCAGCCAAATGGAAATACTGAATCAAACGGTTGCCCTGTGATTAATCCTACAGAAAACACAATGTTTCTAGCACCGGTAACCTATCAAGAAATACACAAAATAATAAGAAATCTAAAAAATAAGAACAGCTACGGATTTGATGAACTACCACCAGCACTAATACGACAGTGTGCAAATTAATTAACTTTCCCTTTAACTATATTGATAAATCAGTCATTCGAAGAAGGTATTTTCCCAGATTTGTTAAAGAAAGGTATAATCAAACCCATCTATAAGAAAAATTGTAAATCAGACCCAAGCAATTACCGCCCCATTACTGTACTATCTACAATTTCAAAAATTTATGAGAAGCAATGTGTGTTCGCGTATACTCATTTTGCGAAAAATATAAAATACTTAACGATGCCCAAAATGGTTTTCGTAGAAAAAGATCCACAACATTAGCAGTCTACAAATTTATCCAAGAAGCTCTTTCCATATTAAGCAATAGATCGTATCCAGTAGGCTTATTTCTGGATATGTCAAAGGCGTACGATAGATTACAGCATGAAATACTTCTTGAGAAGCTGTACGGTATAGGAGTACGAGGAGTAGCGCATAAGTGGTTTACTTCATATTTAAAAGATAGGGTACAATATGTAGAAGTTAACCATTTTGATGAACTAAAAAACGAATTTGAACACGTCCACTCAAATAGTACGACCTTAAACTCATCTATACCTCAAGGCAGTGTGCTTGGGTGTTTGCTATTTCTGATATATATAAACGATCTCCCCAAAATTACAGCTGACCATTGCGTTTTGTTTGCAGACGATATATCAATTTTAAAACCGTCTGAAAATAGTGTCCATTTAAGTAATAAGATCACCTCTACATTAGACCGCATTACCGAATGGATGAGCAAGCACAATTTAGAATTAAACTTCTCAAAAACTAAAATTATGATCTTTTCAACTTTTTCTACAGAGATATACAACTTGAAGTTACAAGAGAATTTACATTACTAGGAATAGACATAGACACACACATCAATTGGAAAAAACATACACAAAAAATAAGTAGTAAAATATCGCGTTTCACATATGCACTCAATGAAATTAAAAAATCTACTGACTTGAAAACTGCCCTTGCAGTATACTATGCCTATTCTTTTGCATGGCTTAACTACGGATTGATTCTCTGGGGGAATAGCACAGGTGCTCCTGCAATTTTTACTCTACAAAAAAAGCTTATAAGAATCCTAGTTAATATAAATCAAACAGATAGCTGTAAACCCCACTTTAAAAAGCTAAATATACTTACCTTACCAAGTTTATATATATATGAAATATGTAAATTTGTTCGAAAAAATCCTTGGCTTTATCAAAAGCGCAGTGAAATTCCTGTACAATACAAATTACGACATAAAGACAGACTAATGCAACCCACTTCTACACTACAATTATACTCAACGAGTCCCTATGTAATGACCATCAAAATATATAACAAACTACCGCAAATATTAAAAGACGAAAAAAACGATAAAACTTTCCTAAAAAAATTAAAAGAATTGTTACTTACCAAGTCATATTATGACATAAAAGAATATTTTGGAGATACCTTGGATATTATAGATATAAATAACACATAATGATCTCACATTATAAACATATTAAACAAATTACTCATAATTAATATATAAATTAAAACTAATAAATGTTACCCATAAAAATAAATAGCCTCTCAAAATACCAACTACATATAGAAGTACCCCATTAAATTACCTAAGTGATACATCTTGCTCTCTCCGAATTTATGATTTGTTTTGTACTATGCCCTATAAACGGGGTCCATAAAGAACTATTTTACTAATTACCCTAACACCTTTTTGTTACTTAATGGATGTGCAATAAATAAATAAATAAATAAATAAATAAATAAATAAATAAATAAATAAATAAAAATGTTAAAATCGCTAATGTAGGTACTCTAATAAAGTATGCAATGAACATATTCCTCTGTGTGTATATGTCTTGTGGTTATTGTATATTATATTTGCTCACACGAGGTGAACCGTGGCTAACCATTTAACATAAGTCACGAATGGAACGAATACAAGCAGATGAGACAATTACTTTATACTAATTAAAACTTAACAATTTCAGAAAATTTATTGCTAATTTGAAAATGGTGCCCTCAAATATCTTATCTTTCGGCAATAAAATTGGCGTTTTTTTTTTCGTCAAATCCAATGCACTTCTGATTCTACGTAGTTTAAAGTTTTGCGGAGAAACCACGCGTCGTCCTATTTCGCATTCATACTATAGACTACATATATTGGGATATTCATTTCAAACAGGAACTTCAAAAAAATGATGTTATCTGTTTTATCCTTGATAACACAACATATTGACATGTAATTACACTACATTTTGGACTAAAATTTGGATAGTACACAATTGTCACGTATAAATTCACAAGTTTGACAAGATTTGAGATAGTTTCACAAGTGTTCAGGACGTCTCTACCTTCCTAAAACCGACCATCATTCCCTTCATACCTATAGTGATATTCTCTAAAGCGTCTGCTGTGAAAGCACGCTTAAAGAAATCTATCGCGCACTAGTTGGAATAAGCCGTGATGGCGAAACGTCGTGTGCCCCTTTATGCTCCGGCCACACAATGGAGGCGAGAGAGCATAAATGGCCATACATGGCTCCGTGCTTGTTCGCCCCCCTCCGAAACCGGGTTAGGTGCCGGCCGCGGGGCGTGTAAACAGACGCGAATCCGGGGAGTGCTGGAGAGGGGCATGTCGCAGGAACCGCGCTCCGACGAGCGCTGACGGTGTCGCCCCCCCCTTTGGACTTCGCTGCCAACTGGCGCGTGCAGTAAAGCCGACTCCACGGTCCTTTGATAGTTTGCCACTATGCGCACAAGCCTCGTAGCGGTCCATTGCGTGCATAGCAATTTCAGACAAGGTATGCACTAAAAAAACTTACAAATTTCCCCAAGTGATTGCTGACAACACCTCAGATCACTTAAGTGATATCCAAAGTTGTCTTTTGAAAAGTTTTGAGGTGTTATGTTTGTTCTCTCTGGCTCAACTTTACTAAAACTTTATTAACACGTGGGTTTAGGTGTTTTGGGGCACACTTGTAAGGGCCGACGGGGTATGCATTTTTTGCATGTATGGAGTGCATGCGCAAGGTACGAGTGGGGAACTCTGCGGCACAACGTCCAGGTGGACAACAGTCAATAAAAGCGGAGGATTAGATGAATATAACACGTCTAAAAATGACAGATAAACTTTCAGACATCTGACTCCACGCTTGACGAAACGAAACAAGTAGTATCACCTCGCCGACTGATATCACTGCCGGCAATGTTGCGGGTTCGATTTCCACGAGACGGAAAAATTTGCGTCATCCATAAACGTCTGTTGCATTGTAGTCTGTGCGAGGGTAGCTTAAAAGACAGATATAGACCATAACAAAAAAAAAAGACAACTTGTTCTGTATAATGATAAGGTCAGAACGAAATTTATCGAATCAATCGATATCGAATGAATCGATGATACCGTGGCGCAGTTGCCAAGGTATTTGGCTTTGGTCCCGCGTTTGTGGGTTCGATTCCCACACGGGACAAAACAGGATAATGTTAGTCCTACAGTACGGGGCAATGTTTTAAAAAAAAGATAAAACGTCGCTCCAAGTAGACAATAAATCGTCTCCTAAACTGTTTCTGGGTACAACTATATACAAAACTTTTCGATCTTTCATTTGAACCGCTCGTAGGGTGAAATAAGTCCGGCCTCAAATACCTCTTACTAATTAAAACACCTAGCACTGCACAACGTAGGATTTGCATAAAGAGCTGACAACGGTGTAATTATCAGCGTAACGATGCACGGGTATCCTGCCCGCAGAATGGTTTCAGGAAAAATCGCACAAAGCGGGAAACGGAAACGCAGGAGTGCGCATTTTTGCTTTAGCACGTGCCTCTGATTAAGTCCTTTGACATTCGGCAGGGGTCGAAACAGAGGGGTTGGAAAATTAGAAAATGTTCAGCACAATGCAAAACATGCAACTATGTAAGCCAAAATGAATTAATCCTTGCTAATGATGCTTACTAAATTTTAAATACACCGCATAAATATATTTAGGGGTTTTGTGTCTAATAAACATTTATATATGTTACTGAAACTATTAATAATACAAGAATATTTATAATATTCGCGTAAAATCAAGAAACTAATATACAAGAAACATTCTGGTTCATTAATATTGGTCAAGTAGAAACCGCTTGAAGCTTTAAATAGCAACTTCGATTGAACTTTAAATAATAAATAAATAATAAAATATCTTTATTCACATAGACGCTTGCGCGTTCTTATGAAACGTCGAAATTTTACAAGGAAATTAATTAATATGTTCGTAATTTATCCTAATAATAAGCGAATTATATACTAAGGCCGGTTAATGAAGGCTCAAAGTTGTAAATATTACAGACACCATTCATATAAAGTATCATGATCATTCGGTAATTTGATACACTATTGTTAAATTGTCTGTCATAACATATCGTTTTCCTGGAGCTTAATAAATCATTCGATAGTTGAGTACATTGATGATGTCGTTAGATTAACAAAACCAAACAAAAATGGACCCACATATGAAAATAAAGCCGCGCTGTCATTTCATAAGCGACGTGCGATGCGGGTCGAACTTTCACTGTACGCCGTCCTAATCTAAATGGGTTCAGAGCCCCGACACGTGGCTCTAACGAATGACATAGTAAATACGCCTAAAATAAACACGGCTCGAACGCTCGGTGGTCGCAGTCGCCAAGCCGGGGGCTTTGGCGCCGCAAGATAATACAGTTAGCGGTTGCTTCCGATTCAAAATTTTTTCAGAACAGAAAATTTTGCGCCAAATTCGAAATGTTTATTTCTTTTTTCGAACATTACAATTTCGGTACGCTTTTCCAAGACATCTTTTTTTTTCTTTTTGGACACATTTTTACACAACGATTTCTAGTCCCAAACTAAGCAACGCCTGTACTATGGGTACTACATAACTGATAAACATACTTTTCTAAATATATATGTAAACATCCAGACACTCGAAAAACAATATGTTCCCCGCACAATATTTTTCCAGTAGTGGGGATTGAACCCACACCCTATGGCGCAAGAGGCCGGGTTACTATCTACTTCGCCAATCAGGTCGTCAAAGTTTTCGAATGAACTGACGAATTTTCCACGTTGTATATTTTTGCGCATTGTTACTATAATTAAAACAGATTGATATTAATCGTCAAAAACTACCATGAAAAAAATCAGCGCTTAAGTCAGCCAGGAGAAAACATACCGTTCTTATAGGCCATACGACTGAGTTAAAGAGTGAAAATAAAAGTGTTCTATCTAGCGCACGTTAATAAACACAGCGCTAAAAACCAGGAACGGATAAGAAATATTATTCGATTTTCAACTAGCGTGTTTAGTTCATAATTGAGACATGAGCTCTGTGGTTGTGGCGGGTCGTTAGTTGGAAGCCACACGCTGAGTACAAAATTTCAACGTGATAATATTTGATGCAGGACAAAGTTTGACTGTGCTAGGGCCACGGAACAGTTGCACGAATGGGCATGTCCGTCCGGGGAAGTACCACGACCTCACATAAGACCGGCGTGAATTGGAGGTGTTATAATTTCTGCGTTTCGTCTGTTGTGTGTTGTGAGTTTAACGGGGCCGAATTTATTAAAAGATGGAAACGTTCTGCAACCCTACCGGGTGTTGCAAACGTCCACGGGCAGCGTTTATCACTTAACATCAGGTGAGTGAACCGCCAGCTCACTTGTCACATTGTCACAAACAAAAAAAACATGAACTACGAATATAATTATAGATAACATTCATCCGACATGCTCGTGTGTATTCCGTGTCATGTATAGCTTGTCATAAACAAAAAAGAAACATGAACTACGAATATAAGTATGGGTAGCTTTCATCCGACATGCTCGTGTGTATTCCGTGTCATGTGTAACGGGTCGCTTAGGAAATCGAGGTGCCGAGCGACATTGGGTAATACTCCGCGTTGCACAATCGACGATGCACCGGTGCGATAGTGGGGTGGGCGAACATCCGGCGCATATGCGATCCGATCGCCTACGGATGCCTTTTAATGATGTGCCGCGGTATATTTGCGAAATAGAAATATACATTTTTAATATGACCAGCGCTTGACTGCTATCCCTCCTGACGGTAAGTGGCGATGCAGCCGTTGATGGTAAACGCGCTAGCTAAGTAGAATTCTTTTCAATCTTGCCTACTGGCTTTATGAAAGGAAAAGAGTGTTTAGTCAGTATGTTTTGGAGGTAGCAGTTCATGTTACGGTGGTAGGGCCACGCAGTAGCCTCGGCTGTTGCACGAATGGGCAGGCCCGTCCGGGTAAGTACCACGACCTCACAGAAGACCAGCGTAAAGTGGAAGTATGACAAATACTTTCGCCTTTCGTCTGGTGAGTGAGGTAGCCGGTGCCCAATTTTCAAAAGGTTGTCAACGCATCTGTAACTCTCGGGTGTAGCAGATGTCCATGGGCGGCGGTATTCACTTACCATAGTGTGAACCGTCTGCTCGTTTGGTAACTTTTCACATAAAAAAAGGTAATCTAGAGCACCTGTAGCACGCTATAGATTACTGAAGTAACGCAGAATACTGGTTCAAAAAATATGGACGCCAGAAAAAGAGGCAGTAAGTAGTCGAGCAATGGAATTTTGAAAGAATTTTTAATTTATTTTTATTTCTGTGTATTTACATTGTCTGATATAATTCCCACAATGTATTTATCTAAGGATTGTCAAGTTTTTGCCGCATGCGTGCGTGCGTGCGTGCGTGCGTGTGTGCGTGTGTGTGTGTGTGTGTGTGTGTGTGTGTGTGTGTGTGTGTGTTTGTGGCGCGCGCGCGCAGTGTGCGTATAAACAAGTTTTGGATGACTTCATTATTAAGAAGCAAAGTAAGAAGTTGTTTTTTCACTTGGGGGTCGGCATTACGTAATAAACCGTAATTAATAATTGTCAGTCTGTAATGAGATAATAATAAATTTAATAGAAATGTGGAGACAGTAAACTGTTATATCTTTTAGGTTCCGTACCCAAAGGGTAAAACGTACTCAGTAGTAGGGTCCCTATTTTTCTGTCCGTCCGTCTGTCACCAGGTTGACGGACGGACCATGAACCATGATAGTTAAACAGTTGAAATTTTCACAGATCATGTATTTCTGAAGCCGATATAACACAAATACTAAAGAACAGAATATAAAATCTTTAAGTGGGGCTCCCTTACAACAGACATGATTTTTTTGCCGTTTTTATCAATGAATAAGTACGGAACCATTCGAGCGCGAGTCCGACTCGCACTTGGTTTTAAGGTAAATAACATAACATTATCAGTCTTCCTTATTTGGCAAAAATTCCGTTAGTTTTTTTTAAGTATTAACAATCAAAGCATAACTTTAAACATTGTGTATATTTTGAATATCAACGGTTATAAAAATACCTTACTGTTAGGCCTGCAATAAACTAAACTAAATAATAACCCATTCAACGTCGCAATATGCGTGTTTAGATTGCATCTTATTCGTTATGGAAAACGTCAGTAGTAATCAGTAAGTTTGTTTACAGTGGTCTCGGCTACATAGGACTAGCTATAAGCTATACTTGAGTACCGGAATCTAATCCATGAGGCGTACACAAAAACTATCTCATATTTGCACACGGTGTATCGGGACAAGAGATGGCATGGCTGGCACCTTTGAGACAAAATAATTTGACGAGATACGCGGGTTTTTGCAATCTAGATTATCATTCTCTAATCTATCTCCAATTTCCGTGTCAAAAAATATGCTTGTGCCATTTAGAAGTTGTACCTCCGACTATAAAAAAATTGAATGAAAC